AGTCCTAACTGAAAACAATGAAACCAGTTTTAAAAAATTAAAAAGGCAGACTGGGGAGTCAGCAAGGGCGGACTGAAAGAAAAGAACAGGCTGTTATTTACAAGGAACACATGCACACAGGCGCAGACCTGCAATGCGATCAGAGAGGCAGCGGACCAGCAAATTAAGCAAATACCTTTCGCAAAGATCAAAAACAGGAGTGACTGACGCCGGGAGGCCCGGGTACTAGGCACTAAGCAAGCTGTCCTGGCTTCTGTTAATGCAGAACCCGTTCCGTGGAGAGAGCTTTGAAATGCTGGGTCAGCCGAGGTCTGTCCTTTCTCTAACTGAGACGCACACTTTGTGTTGCCCAGGTTTGAGAACTCTTTATTGGTTTAAAACCCTCCAAGGAGTCTGCTTTAAGTCATAGGGGATGTCCCAGAGTTGGAATCAGGAAAGTGTCACGAACACAGGAGACTTAGCACTCTGTGTCTGGAAAATAAAGCAGGGTTCCTTGGCCCAGGGTGAGAGAAGATCAAGTTAACAGCTTAGCGACTCAGCTACCCATGAAGAGAACCCAAGAAGCCACCCGACACCCGTGAGTGCCCCGCGGGGTGTGCATTTCAGGAACCTCAGGGCCTTTGATTCTTGGGCGCGCATTCCTTTCAGTAAGTCAGAGCGACCCCACGCTCCGAGGTGGCTGCAAATCATGGAACGAAAAGTTCCGAGGACTTTGCGCATGGATCTGTGAGCTGGCTAATGGCAGGATGCTCAGGAGAAACATATCTTCCCTACCCTCCTTCCTGATTCCTTTAACTCGGAAAAGTGGCCTCAGCCCCAGTGCGGCGACACTGCTGTGACACTCTCCAAGACAGATATTGGGCGGGATTGTAAGTGACAAGGGGATGTAGACCACGCGCCATAAAATGGCGAAAACTTTGACGGACATGCAAGGTGGAGATGTACTGCCTCTCGGAGCCGTGAGCTGGTTACTGCAGCCACGAGATCCCAACGACAGGACAGGGGACGAAACTGCACATTCTCGGGAGCCAGTGCATGGCAGGAAATCCATAAACAAGAAGGTAGGGAAATAGATTTGACAGTTTGCTGCTGCCACAGCTTCCTTAGCAAAGATCAGATCTGGATCGGGTTTATTTAAAAAGAGACATCCTGGGGTCTACCCAAGATGTTTGTTCTCATTGTAATTCATCTGAGGGCAGAAGCAGGAAAGAAGTCATTGAGGGGTAAACCCTGCTTAAAGCAGGAGACGTTCCTTGCAGAGCAAGTTTGTACACCGGATGCTGAAAATGGACCGAGAAAAAACTAGTACATCATTGACAGCACGTCCTTCGCAGGGGCTTCAGCTGTGTTTTCTGCGAGAAACAGACCATCTTTGTCAGCAGAGCTTTGAATGCTCACTCGGAGAGCGAGGTCAGAGAGCATAAGGCGGAACTGGCCGTCACACTCCAATTCCTTAGAAAAGGGACACGTGGATCCTTTCCCAGGAGCCCTCCAGTCAGTTCTGCTAAACAGAACAGTAAACCGTGTGGCTTAAAATGTGTAGAACACATATTCCTAAATTAAAGTGGTTTACAGAAAAAAATCTGAGATTGCTCCTAAGATAGATCTGTGTCAGGGATGCTTGGGCCAGCTGGTCAGGGGAGTCACCCCGGGAGTCTGGGACTAGTGAATCTGAATCTCTGAAAATCGTTGTTGCAAAGCCTTCCAGGTAAGAAACAGTGGTTTAGGAAACAAACTGTGGTTACCAGGGGGAGAGGAGGGGAGGGCTACATTAGGAGTTTGGGATTAACAGAGACACATTACTATATAAAAAATAGATAAACAAGGGCCTACTGTATAGCACAGGGAACTTCATTCAATTTCTTGTAATGAGCCATAATGGAAAAGAAACTGAAAAAACATATATGTATATATATAAAACTGAATCACTTTGCTGTACACCTGAAACTAACATTATATACTGACTACACTTCAATAAAAAATAAGAACTAAAAAAAAGAAAGGGAGGGAAAAAAAAGAAACAGTGGTGTAGCAAACATTGCTTTTCTAACTTTAATGGGCATACGACTCACCCGGGGAGCCCATGAAAGTGGAGTTTAATTCCAACAAAAGTCTGGGGGGGCTGAGAGCCTGCACTTCTAACGCGCTTCAGGGGACAGGGATGCTTTTGCTCCAGGGCTGAACGAGGGTCCCGAGAGCCACCTCTTTAATTATGGGGATTGGACAAAGAATTCTCATCAATACGGTACAAATAAAGCCAGTGACAAACCTTCGCCTCCTTTTGGTCAAAAAAACTTTTCTTTTCTTTGGAGGGAGGAGGATAGGGGTAAGCAATCAGATCAGATGAGCAGAAATCAGAATAATGTTCAATTTTGGTTACACTTTTCAGGAAACATTACTTCAACCGATGAATCAGTAAACAAAAATATCCCTACAGTGGAATATGATTTGCCCATAAAAAGGGACAAAGTCCTGCTCACAGCGAAAAAAAAGAAATGTGACAATGAATATATATATGTTCACGTATAACTGAAAAATTGTGCTCTACACTGGAATTTGACACATTATGTCAAATTGACTATATCAAATGACTATAACTCAATAAAAAAAGTTTTTAAAAAAAAGGGATGAAGTCCTGACACATATTACATGGATAAATCTGAAAAATATCATGCTACCTGAAAGAAGTCAGTCACAGAAGACCAAGTATTAAATATTCTATTTATATGAAATGTCCAGAATTGGCATATTTATAGAGACAGAAAGCAAATTAGTGGTTGCTTAGGGCTGGAGGGATTGCGGGGGTGGGGAAGGGAGCTAGCTAAAAGGCACGGGGTTTCTTTAGGAGGTCATGTAAATATTTTTAAATTGGCTAAAAAACCCATTGAATTATACACTTTAAATGATTGAATTTTATGTGTAAACAGTATCTCAAAAAGCTGCTAAAAAATTATTAAATGATCTTTGCAGTGCATATAAGCAGCCAAACATAAAGAACATACATTTTAATGTGTTATACATGCAATATACCTTATGTTCTTCATATGCTATCTTTACATATTATGTATATGATGTGCAGAATGTGTCATATACAGATTATGTAAAACCCTGTAGGAGCAGGTCTATTAAAAAAATTATAAAAAGGCAAACAACCCAGTAGGAAAACAGAAGATGTGCACAGACAATCCACAAAAAGGAAACCAGAAGGGCCAAATATACACACGGAAAGAGGCTGGCGGGGGTTGGGGTACAGCTCAGAGGCACAGCATGTGCTTAGCATGCACGAGGTCCAGGGTTCAGTCCACAGTACCGCCGTAAGTAAATAAATAAACTGAACTACCCTCCCCCAAAATACAAACAAAAGGGGGTCTAAACATAAGGGTATCACTAAAAAAAAAAAAAAAAAAAGGAAAGACGTTCAACCTCCTTGGAAATCAGGGAAATAAACATTAAAACATCAACCAGATACCAATTCAGACCCACCAGACTGGCAAAAGCGCTGTGAAAATTAGTGCATGCTGTGCTAAATGTGGAGAAATGAGAATTCCCATGTATTGCTGGTGAGAAAGTAGACTGTTCCAAAATCTTTGGAAAGCAATTTAGCAATATTTGAGTAAATTTCAAGAGTGTATCTCCCATGACTTGCTGCTTTTGCATGTGAGAAAGTCCCGCCCATGTACACAGGAGGCATGCACAGGGATCTCCTCCCATTATTTTCCTTATTAGAGAAAAACTTCAACAACTTATATGCCATCAATAGGGAAACGGATAAATATCTTGAGGTTTATGCATATAATAGAAAGTTACCATTTAAAAATAAAGAAATTTGAGTGACTGCATGTAATCAAATATTTAAAATATGATTTATATTATCTCCCAGAAATGAGACTAAAGAGTGCAAAAGTACAGGAGAATATAAAAAGAATAAAATAATGCCATTTGCTGCAACATGGGTGGACCTGGAGAATGTCATTCTAAGTGAAGTAAGCCAGAA